AAATTGACAAAATTAAAATTAGTAAAATTTATGCGGCACGATAACGAAAATTATTTATTATAAACGTAAGTGAAAATAATATCTCTTACACGCGAACTGTCGTTTCAAATTTCCCGCGGAGAAACTGTTAAAGGGACTCGGCTCGAGGATGCAATCGATTACGGCGGCGTTCGCGCGTTTTCACGCGTTTTCGAAAGCATCGACTGCGATAACACGGCTGCTCCTTTGGCAACTCGACCTTCGACCCTTCCTCCCTCCTCGGGGTTAACTATCATCGGTGATAAGTTACGCGTTAACGAGCAACCACCGGGTTCGGCCACTTTCACTCGCAACAGTCCAACGAGCGCAAACGTACCAACTCGCGCGTGCTTTTCGTCGATCGTTCGCCACCACCGCGAGATTAATAATTCGCCAACCTCGTCGGCGATAGCAAAGGTTTCGATTTGAAAGTCGTGGCAATCAAAACTGAATTTAACGTCTCGCTAAACTCGACAAGTTAAGTTTCCACGGTAACCAGAGAGTATTTTCGATAATTCGACAAAAAGGGACTGGAGAATAAGGTGTTCTGCGTCGATTTCAATATCAACAAACTTAATAAAATTAATGATCAATTGCGCGCTAGCCTCGCGGATGCTTGGAGAATCTTGAAATTTATTAGACGCGAGCTGTTCCTTCCGCAAGAGAATTGGAACGTTCGTAGATCAATAAAACTGTATCGCGTTTCACGTGCAAATACAAGAACGTGAAAACAATCTCTGTCAACTTTATATAGCGAATATCTAAACTAATAAAAATAAATAAATATCTCATGTTTCTTGGTCACGTGGAATTTCATTTAATTTGCACGTCGAGAAAAAAAAGAAAAAAAGGAGACACGGGTGGTGAAACGCGACATGTAATGAAAGAGGGACGAGGTTTGGCGAACGAATCGAAACAGAGAGAAAGAAAGATACACGTCAGGCGGTGATACGGGGGAGAAGTTTGATGGGAAACCGCAGACGCCATTAAATGTAACAATGTTGCCGGCAGGGCTGGCCTGCGTTAAAACTTTAAATAACTGACCGCATCGTGTACAACGCCACACTCGGTGTGCTCTCGAGGACAATAGCCACCGAAGAGTCAAGGTACAAAGTGGAGTCGCGGCAAGGTCGGCGCGTTATAATATTCGAGGTATTCCTCCTTCTTTCCCCCGAAAGTATCGACGAGAGAAAAGACGCTGGCGAAAAAAGACGAGCTCTATTGTCTCGGTGTGAAAATAAAAGAAAAAGAATTTGGAAAGAGAACTTTTCTTTAAAGAATTTCAGTTACCGATCTGTAGGATCGAACGTAAAGGTATATGTTCATTGAGATCGTGGCTTACGAATACAAATGTGGAACGATAATTACGTCGACACGCTGCCTGCGTTTTGTTAACAGATATCGTCGCGCGATACCGTTGCTTCTCTCAACCAGGCTTAATCGATTATCGTTTCTCTCGAAGGAGGCTACAGACGATTCCGAGTCTCCACGTCGAACTTGGTGTACCCATGATCGATCGTTAGAGCGCCATCTGGTAATCTAGTTTTACATTGTTTCGAGCCTTTCGAACCCACACGACTCTTAGAGATATTGTTGCCTCTTTTGGTCTTAAAAAAGCGACATAATCCCATTGGCCGCTCAAACGAGTGCGTCTGAACCTGCGGTTTCTCTCGTACTGAGCAGGATTACAACTAGTCATCAGTAGTCATCGGTCTAAACTCAGTCTACGTGGCTCTTATTCGTGACCATCGATGGAGTGCTTTTGCCATTTTTCTGTCTGGCCACCCTGTGTGTGTGCAGCACGGTGCTCAGGACCGTATCGTTTCTTCGGATCGAGAAGGAGGCGACTGTTTCGTGCGATCGAGGCTCGCTTCTCTTCCTTTCGAATCAGCGACGATTACCGCCATTCAGCTGACGAGGTTGTCGCAAGCTTCGACCGACTCGATTCGGGCAAGAGAGGAGAAGAGAAAAGAAGAAGAAGAAGAATGTAGAGAAATAACATAAAATGGACACGAGAGATTCTCTAGGAGCTTCGAGGAACTTGTAGAAGGGATG